GTGTGGTAATTGGCCACTGTAGTACTTAACACATCACCAAAATTGTGGTAATGGGCCACTGTAGTACTTAACACATCACCAAAATTGTGGTAATGGGCCACTGTTGACTGAACACATAACAACACACACATTCAGTTAGAACGCTATATTTTTAGTATTTAACATTTCAAAGAAACACATTGACAAAACTGATGTAATGGACCACTGTATTTTGTAATCACTCCTTCAGCAAAAATAGTAAAAAGAATTCTGGGTGAAAATAAAAGTATTTGACACCATCATTTCTGCATTATGTTACTGAAGAAACACATGGAAACACATGTTGCAATGGATCAGAGTGGTTTTTGACATATAGGCCCCAACACACTCATTTCTAATGTATGATTACTTGACAGTAGAAATGACAGTTGCTTTATTTTAGGGGGTGTCATTAGAGTGGATATAAATAGAGCTTACATCACATGACACATCACATGACAACATTTGAATACATAAACAGGAAGTAGGAAAAATCACGAGTTCCTTAATTTATTAGTATTTCCTCATCTTTATTTTGCAAAATGAATATTAGTTTTTCTTCATCTGTTTTGTTGTTTTGAAGTATTTTGAGCTTACCGGTATTTATGAAAATGTTTCTTTCATATTAGTAAAAAATATATGTGTATATTTCTGGAAAGTTAAAATGCTAAAAAGCTATATTTGGTCAACAATTACCAGGGGTAGTCACATTCTGCAACAATCAGTAAATGACCGATTCAGTCAAATTTAACAAAAATGGCATGTAGCTAGTTCAAAGCATTCATAACATTCTGTAACTATAGTACCTGTAACCATTTAAATAATGAACACCATTTTTTCAGAAATTTTCAGGATATAAGGGCAGAAGGCGAGTGAAATTTTGCAAAAGCACACCTCAGCAAAATGTGCACTTATACAAATCATTGCGACTGTCTGACTTACGAAATTCATGGAAATGCACATGTTGCAACAGCTAATTTTATTTTATTTTTAGCTTTTCTGATCAGTTCTGCATTATTTTATTGGTTTAATCAGTGTTTTTAGTTTCATGATTTAAAAAACTTCCAAACTCAAAAGTACTCATTGACAATTGAGGCTTTACTAAAACGGTATATCTAAGCTTGTTGTGGTGAACATTTGTATTATTATACTGAATAAATCATAAAAAAGAATTTGACACCTTTCAGGACTTGAAAATTTCTTGGAAGTCTGATGGGCTACCAGTTTTAAAAGCTGGTAGTGTCGGAACCACAATCGAACTGCGGAAACCACAAAGAGATACGTTATGTACTTAAGTTAATTATTATTGAGTTAGTTGATTGGCTACTCAGTAACAAGTTACGTAAACCCAAACTTCCGGCCACACTGTATGTATACTTTCAACACACGCTTTATTTGGCAGTAGCTGTATAGTATTCGTGTAGTCTATATCGTATAATAAAGTCTCTTTCCTTGACTTAATCGATCGTCTCCTTTATCCTGTAATTTCGATTCCCACTGGTAGTCACTAATTATATTTGGTATCTATCTGGTTTTTAAGGTACTCAGAGCTATCAAGATGCAGAAAAGTGTGAATAGAAATAAATACATGTTATTTTGTAGGACATCCAGTTTTCAAAAACAAAATACTAATTTTTGGTAAATTTTTGCCAAGGTTGGCTACTACCGGTAATTTTGAAAAAATGGTAGCCCCAGGATAAGATTTGGTAATCTGTACACATGGGCTAGTGTTAATTTCAAGCCCTGTATTTGTAGAGTTCAATACATATACATGTATGCACACAAATATACAAACTCTTTCAGGAGCAGTGACTGATACACCTAATTTCAGCAGCTTAAAGCAAGACAAAGAATTACTTTTTACACATGGTGTCACCATTGTATATCACATGGCGTTCTAGTTCACATTAGAACCACAGGAGATTGGAAATCTAAGTATAAGCATGGCAGGATTTAGCAAAAAATAATATGACAGAACCCCACACCCTCTCCGTCGCTTTCGTTTCGTATGAAAGTTATTTTCACGAGTGATGCGGTGTATCCTGCGTCCATACTTTTACGAACAAAGCGAGTGAAAGTACAGAGGAATATATTGCATCTTGAGTGGAAATAACTTCCATACGCAACAAAAGCCATGGGGAAGGGGGGTTTTGTTATTATTACATATGTTCCATATTGATTATTTCATATTAAAGAAAAAGCGAGCAACAAACCGGGATGAAATTTAGGTCAGGGAACCCCATTGCCCATTAATATGTTCTAAGATAGTGTTACGCCCTAGCAACGCGTGTCAGTGAAGAACGCGTGTCACTGTCTGTGTGAAAAAAATAATCAGACGACTAATCACTAATCTGAATCACTGTCCGAATAAGGACGAATCAAAATAAACTGCAGTACATATGTAATAATGTACTTAATTTAGTCTGTATCAAAATCTTGAAAAAATGATGCTACTATTTTGGCTGGGTGGTGTACTATACACCAACCGGCAAAAATCCTAGCATGGCATTTTGGGGCAACCATGGATGGTACTTACTTTAGTACCTTCCATGGGGCAACTAAGCAGTAAACAATTTTCTGTTTTTTGTTTTGTTTTTTTTGCTAGATCCTACAAAGCCATACATAAGGAATATGACTATCTGTAATGCGCAAATCTGATTGGCAATAGGCATGTCATGAAATCAATCAGTAATAATTTGATACCATCATATTATTATTAGTAGTCACCCCATTTCAGATTCCCACAATTATTCCATATTAGACAATGATTTGTGTTCATGTGTTTCCTTGATCTTCACCTGTATGCTAAAAGCAGTAAATATTGGCCTTGAAAATGTGGATCGCAGTTTTCTAGCGCGATTGTCCCAGTGGTTACTTGGCTTACCTTGAATTCTAGTGCCACGGCTTGGCAAACTCGAGTACTTTCTATTTTAGCTACGTTACAGACTTCGGACACGAGATATACGACCTCTTTCTCAGTAATGTTCTGTGTAAATAAAATGTGTATCAACTCGGCTCCAAAACGACACGCCTCGCACTCTAACGATACAGATAATGTCAAATCAAGGCTGTTCACTCTCGATTGGAATGCATGCAGCTCATGGTATACCAGCTTTTCAAGCTTCTCGAGTCGTGAAGATTTGGCTGTAAGACCTTGGTCCATATAGTATACGGGATGGGCGCCCAACTTGACACAGATCGCCAACAACAGGCCCAATATAACGGTCGCTTTCAAAACCATGCTCCGCCAATAATCGTGTTGCACTAAATCGGATGGTGGGAGACAAACCAGGTACCTACAAGACGACGTCTCCTTGTGTAGTAGCGGACTCACAGTGCAGTGGGACAGACAGATACCGGGTGATTCAACCACAGTCACTTGGGGGCTGAAAATCAATAAATACTAATTTTCAACAAAAAAATCATCCGCTATACCATGGAAGTACATCCATGTTCTACTAAAACACTTCGCTCGGCAAGTCTTCGTTGTTGTTTGTGTCAAACATTAATGGCGTGACAAGTTAAGTAGGTCACGAGACCGATCACCTGATCTAGAAGAAAAAGTGCGCCATCAGCGTTGAGGTCACGCTTTTTAAACTTTGGGTGCGACAGTGAATGACAGATAAAAAAAACGACATGCACAGATTACAGGGAAAAAATATATATTCAGATTTGTGTTGAAAATATGGCTGTTAAAATAAAAAAAACACTTCTGACAGTACTGTACATCGTTGTTTTAAATTTATGACATTTTTTGGAAAATAAATACTTTTTCCTTTTCCATGAAATGAGTGATTGCGGCAGTTTTTTAGCTTTGTTGAAATAACCTAGCAACAGTATCAACAGTTACATACATTCTAAGACGGAGATTAAACAGCAAATATAATTAAAAACGTAACTTAATTATTGACATTAATGAAAATTGTACAACATTCTTAAAATTAAATTAATGATATTACTAAGTGTTCCAATACCTGTTAATATATGAATATGTACATTATCTGGTACACATCCTTTGCACTATTGGTATGTTGTAGAACATCATTACCAATATCATTTTCAAAGAGAAAATAACATAATATAATAAAAAAAATACTTCCCGTCAAAGTGATTAAAATATTATGTAGTACAGACAGCCAGCAGAAGGTAGAAAAGTGCTCAATTTTTTTCCGGCATGTTTTGTTACAAGCAGGCATCTATGCTAAATGACGTCATTATATAGTAAGGTTCACATCAGGG